CTTAGCGCCTTCCTCACACCGCTGCCTGGGTGCTATTCTACTCACTCCTCACACACCCACTCAAAGGCAACGTAAAGTCTTGAAACAAAATCCTGAAGTATATTTTAAGACATGGTACAATCATCAGAGGCCGGTTGAAGCCTTTCCCAACCACCACCTCTGCCCTCTCCCCCTTGGATGAACATTTACGTGGTGGGTGTTCCCCATTTCAGCAGCAACTGGCTGAATGAGGGAGGGAGTATGAGGGATGGAGCTCAAGTCTGTTAGCCATGGTCTGAAAGATTTGCTCAGCGGGAAACCATCAATGGGAGGGAGGGTGATCCAGAATTAACTCTACTGTGAATTTGGCACCAACACTTTGGCCCTCAGCCTACATGAAACTGAAGTAGGCCTGGAGTTGACGAGGCCACTGGCTGGAAGAAATCAGTCCGCGGGACAGCAAAAGGATGGAAGACATCTCCCTGGCTCCTCAAACCTTCCGTGCTTCTTGCTTCGGTGTTTGTGGAAATCTCTACTCCAATGTGTGTGCATGAGTCGGGAGAGGTGGGACCGGGAGAGGCAGCAGAGAGAAAGGGAGGAAGGAGACGGATTTCTGAGCACATGCACCCGAAGGCTTGGAGGAGGTAGCCTTCAGAGCGGGAAGAGGGGCCAGGACTCTGGGTGGCTGAGGGGGATGGAGAGTGTCACCCCACTGAAAACCCTTTACCAGGTGACCTGACATTGAGGTCTGCACGTCCTTGCACTTCCAGTCTAGAATCCAACTCCCAGGTTGCCTTGAAAAAGCAAAGGCATGTGTGTGGGGCACGTCCACGCTTCTGCCTTCGGCCGCTTAACCCAAACATTCTGACCACAGAGACCTATTTCTCCACATCAGACACCCTGTCTCGCAAATGGGAGAAAATTGGGCATAAAAAGGGAAATCGGCAGTGTGTGAAGCCGCTGGGGCTTGGAGGGGCTCCAGCGTGGGCTGTTGGCTGGGCTGCCCTCGCCTCACTCTGCTGGGACTCGCTCATGCAGCAAGAGTGATGCCTTCCCAAACAGCGCGTTTTTATTTAACCAATTCAGAAAGAAGTTAACTGCTCTCGAAGCGTTTCACATAATTAGAAACATGCATTCTGGCAAAGGGGATGGAGGAATTCTTGGTACCACTCCAGCAAAAAGGCCAATCTATCAACCGAGGGGCCAGACAGAGGCTCGTGTGTTTGGACAGGAGAGGAAGCTCAGCGCGTGCACGAATACATGCGGGCAGGTAGCAGGGCGTAGTGCCACAGGCCCAGCCCCTGATGGGCAGGCAGAAGAGAGAGCTCTGTAACGGAAAGGAGGAGGAGGACTGGAATTGGGATCATTTCCCCTACTGCAAGAGCAAACTTTTTCCCCAGGAGAAATGTGACCCAGATTGGTGACAGGTCAACCACTAACAGAGGAACGTAGATGAGGAATACCTTGCCCACACTATGTGGTGTAGGGGAGAGAAGGTGGACTCCTGCTACTTATGAATAAGTTTTGTAGCTTCTCTAAGCCTGTTTACTCAGAGACAAATTGGGGACACTGATGATTACCCATAGACCTGTCGCTTGCTTAAATAAATGCTTATAAAATTTCCCCAGTTCCGTTACTGACACTCCATATCAACAAAACCTTGCAAGTAATTTTTGAGGACTTGACTTCCTTCTATTAGTCAACTACTATTTATAAGATCTCGTCGGCCAGTTAATGAAGGGAGAGGAGATACCACCAGACCAAGTGCTGATCCTAATTATATCTAGATCCTAATTACATCTTAATATCACCATGAGGTTGTTGTTGTTATTATTACTTTACAATTGAAGACACCAAAGTTCAGAGAAGTGAAGTGACTTGCCCAAAGTCACACGGCTGGTAGATAATTGAGCCAGAATTATAATTCAGGCCTGGGTGTACCCCAAACTGGCTTCTCTCCACCCACTTACATGCCCATGTGAGTCTCAGTTGGTCCATATCATGGGCCCCTGGGATCCCTCTTGTGAGGCCCCCATGATGCCTCACTCTCAGAGCTCTAGTCAGACTCCCTGGACACTGATCTGCACACTTCTGCTCTCTGCCTCTCACCTGACCCAAACCAGACTGCTCCGAGCTCCCAAAGATGGGGGTTTCTTTATTCACTCCGTCTCTGACTATTCCTTTCCAGATTGCAGGAAGCTCCCAGGAATCATTACAATGACCAAGTTCTATTGAAACAGAAAGTTCTCTGGCAGCAGCCAGTGTTTTCCAGCATGACTACATTCCTGGGTTTGAGAGAGTTTCTGAGTGGCGAAAAGCCAGTTTTGGGTACACCCAGGCCTGAATTATAATTCTGGCTCAATTATCTACCAGCTGTGTGACTTTGGGCAAGTCACTTCACTTCTCTGAACTTTGGTGTTTTCAATTGTAAAGTAAGAATAATAACAACAACCTCATGGTGATATTAAGATGTAATTCAGATCTAGTACTAGGGAAATGTCTGATGAATGTAACATGAAAAAGGATATGGCCCGGCCTGTGTAGCTCAGTGGTTAGCAGCAACCTATGAACCAGGAGGTCACAGTTCGATTCCCGGTCAGGGAACATGCCTGGATTTCTGGCTTGATCCCCAGTGTGGGGCGTGCAGGAGGCAATCCATTGATGATTTTCTTTCATCATTGATGTTTCTATCTCTCCCTCTTTTTTCCTCTCTGAAATCAATAAAAAATATTTTAAAAAGGATATGTCTACAGGTGTATATATATGTGTATTCTCACACTATGTGTATATGCACATACATACTTATATATAATCTCCACCCCTCCTTTGACATCCATCTCTATCCTAGGGGTTAGAGAAGAGTAGCACATACTCTTTAGCCAGGTTGCCGAGTCGGGCCCTGGCTTCTCGTCCGCACTGCCTCTAACCAGCTGTGTGATCCTGGAGCAGACACTCCATGTAGTGGGTTGTCCAGGCACTTGCATGAGGTCTGGGTGCAAAGCAGGCACTTGCTATGAGCTGAGAGACACAGAGCGGCTGTGCTGGAGGATGCAGGGGCTAGGCAAGGGCCCTCATGGGCTTCCGCACCTGTCAAGACTAACGGTGGCAAAAATGGGGTGGGCCACTGCGCTTTCTCTCCAGCTGCCTCCCTGGACTGTGAGCGTTGAGGGGGCTTTCCCACTGGGTCAGGCCCTTGGGGCTGTAGTAAACCTGGTGGCTAAGTTGGCTATTGGGACTCTAGTTCTGACACATGGATGCAATGCTTGAAAATCCAGGTCCTGGAAAGCCAGGCATAAGATAAGGTTGAGACAGATAGTGGGGTCCAGTAGACCATGAACTAAGTGAAAGGAAGATGAGCTCCCACTTACAAGGGCCCCACATGCCTGGCCCTGCATCAGCATTTACACATATTTGTATCTCATTTCTATTTCTGCAGCACCCTATGAAGTAAGCCCTCTTAGCAGTCCCATTTTAGAGATGAAGTTGAGGCTGAGAGCTTGCATGACTTGCCCAAGGTCACCTAACTAGTAAGTCCTAGTGTCAGGATTTGAATCTAGGTCTTTCTGACTTCACAGCTGGAGCACTAGACTAATAAGCCGTGTGGGATGCCCAAGAGATGGTCAATTCTCTCAATAGCCTTATGAGATGTAGGCATCATTATCCTTGTCCTGCTCTTGTGAGATCTAAGACTTTCCCAACGATCCCCAGCATGGTTTGAACCCGGCTATCTCACATCAAAGTGTGTAGGAGAGCAGTACCCTCCCCCTTTTCTTCAAGACACAGGGGGAGTGCTAGCTTATGTTGCCTCAGGACAAGGCAGGCACCAGGGGATTTCGTGGTCCCTGCTTCACACATTTTCAGTAGCACTGGCTACTCTATTTAGTAGAAGAAATTTCACATCAAGAGGAAGCATAAATTTTATGAGGGATTTGTTTGAAAAGTATGAAAAGCATTTTGCATTTAAGTAAATAAAAGTCTGTGAGTCCACTGGTAATTATCCAACTCCAAATTTATGATTCCTAGGTCTCACTGGATGAAATGTGATGTATAACAACAAACTTGCAAGATGCTCACACATTAAAAGAGGAATGTGAAATATTTATTAAAGCAACAGGCATTGATGGAATAGCCGGGGGCCTAATTCTTGAGGATGAGAATAAAAATTTTGAGCAAACACCAGTGTTCCTTTCAGCACTTTTGCAATAGTCATTAACATGTGTCACATAAGGCCAGAAAATCTGCATAAAATATAATTAGAAACCAGGGTGAAGTGAGCAGGGAAACCAGGCCTAGGGAGGTGTGAAATACCTCCAGAATGTCAGCAAATCTTCCTTTTCATATGTGTGGGCCAGGAGTTTAGAGTCAACATGGGGTCATCTCTCCAGCAAACCTCACAATATGCCGCTAGGAAGGCCTGAAAAGATGGGATTTCATCGCTGCCCCTTTTGAGGGTGGTGGTCAACGGAATCATTTACAAGCCTCTCTGGTTGCCATCACTGTACCCCTTCACCATTGAAGACAGCTGTGGGCAAACTACGGCCCGCAGGCCAGATCCGGCCCGTTTGAAATGAATAAAACTAAAAAAAAAAAAAAAAAGACCGTACCCTTTTATATAATGATGTTTACTTTGAATTTATATTAGTTCACACAAACACTCCATCCATGCTTTTGTTCCGGCCCTCCGGTCCAGTTTAAGAACCCATTGTGGTCCTAGAGTCAAAAAGTTTGCTCACCCCTGATTTAAGATGTAAAAATTTGGATTTTTTCTTAAATATTAATTAAGGACCTTTTAGAGAAATGGCGGCTCACCTAGACTAACTCTGGGAATATGGGTGACAGGGTTACTCTGAGCAATGCTCCCAGCACTTCGTGTCACCCAGCCATTTAAACCTTCACAGAGTTCAGGGAGCAGAGACC